TTTTTTTTTTTTTTTTTTTTTCTGCTTCTCCTTTTTACATACAATGTATAGACTTCATCACTTTATTTGATGGTTCAATAACATGTTAATATGAAGAAAAAAAAAAGTTAATTTATAACACTTCATCACTCTTATTTGGCATGGTTCTACCAGGACGGAGCTAGGCCATTTTATTTGAAGGATTCAACCATAAAAATTGAAATGAAATTATAATTGTAAAATTAATATATTAAAATTAACTAATAACTAAAAGATCTATAATAATTAACCACACCAACATTTATATTTTGCATAAAAGTGTTTTTAAGAGTTATTCTTTGATGATAATATTATTTTTTTTAACTTTTAATCTAATTTTTTTAATCATATTTATTTATAAATTAAATATTGATATTTTAAAATAAATTATCAATAATTAAAAATAATATTATGTAATAATATAAATTATTTATTTTAAATTAAAAATATAATTTATTTAAAAATATCTGTTTTTATAAATTTTACATATAATTTACATTCAAATGTAGGATTTATTTGTAATATAATTTATAGGATTTGTAACTAAGGAAATATAAGATTTATAGTTATAGAGATATATTAAAGAGGAGAGATGCGTTCACTTTAGGAGTAAATTTACCTAAACTTACTTCATTCGATAATTATAAATCAAATTTCAACTATTAAATCATTGAATTTAAAATTCTTAATACATAAATAGAGTTTGCAAATTTAAAAAAAATTAATATTTTGTGTTATTAATTCAAATCAACATATAAAATACGTTTTAGAATTATATATCAATTTGAATTAATGAAATGAAATATTAAATAATTTTTAAAATTTTTAAAAATTTACAAATTGAATTTAAATATTAAGAACTTTAAATTCTACGAATGAATTATTAAAATTTGATCTAAAATATGAGTTATTAAACGAAGTAAGTCTAAACTTATTAAAATAAACAAATCTCTCCCCTATATTAAAATAAGAGAAACATGATGTTAAATTTTTTTACTAACATGATAATATTTTTAATATATTTTAGAATAAAATATTGACGTAATAAAGAGTAGCTCTAATATAGTTGATGTAACACCTTATTGAAACTACGTTTTCTCTATACAACTCTTTAGTACCATCGATGATTAGCTCTGAATCTCAGTTCAAACTTTGGTAAATAAATTTTTTCCTAGTTCATAGTAGAATAAATATGTAAAACATCAATCATTCAACATTATTTCTATAACCAATCATTGTTGTCGGACTTTGATTACTTTTGGAACTGTCAACTGGATATTATCTTTGAGAATAAGGATAGGTAATTGAATTTGACAAAACCCTGGTGCTCATTCAACATACATTTGGTTTTGCAAAAGCTACGACAGACGATTCGACAAAAATGGGATACATTACTATTTCGCAATGAATTAACGAAGCTAACATTATTTCTTTAATTGGATCATCTCTGTATCTACGTTAATTCACTATGCAATGCAATTCTTTTTGAACATAGGTGATCATGTTCCATGTAGGATCACCAAGATTATCTCGATTCAATTTTCATCTGCAGGGAATCCTAACCATTAAAGAAAAACTTTATACAATTTTGTCAGTAAGAAACTCTACATTATCGAATTTGAACTGCACGACCTTATAATTCTTGATGAACAGCGGGAGATCGTATTAAAAGGGAATATCTAAAGTGTGCAGGTTTACAAAAATATCACCACTATCGTATTATTTACGTCCCACTTCTCAGACCTATTTTTTGAGAACTCAACGCTTGTTAAAAACAGAAAACCATTTCCAGAAATCTAAAATTAAAACTACAGAAGCTTTGTGCCAAAACAAGGCAAAAAAATGTATTTGGGCTGTAACAAAGATTTATCTAGTTGTTATAAGTTTTAAAGACGTGAATTAAAAAACATTTAATGAAAAACAAAAAGAAACAAGGAATAAATCATCTCATATTGAATTTTCACGTCACACTATTTCCTTGACAACATCTTGAATCAGCTCCATACAGCAGAATAAAAAAAAAACTTGGAATAAACAATAGTGGGTTTCTCATGAGCATCATCCGAACTGTAAACTTATCAGAGTAGATCAATTTTGCCACTCTCTACAAGTGCCTTTATTGATTTATAACATATGAAGTGCAGGACACCTGGCTCCATCTCAAACAGCTTCGACCTGCCACAATAGTCGATTGAACAATTTTTTACCTTTTTCTAAACAGAGCAGAATAAATTCATGCAAGAATAAGGGAATTGCCTGTCATCAACAGGTCCATCTTCGAGTTGAATTCCCGTGAGATACTCTTTACTTCTACACAAAACAAATGTGTCTAGTTGTGGTTCTGGGACTGAAATATACAAACAAAACAAGTGTCACAGCTCACAATAGATGGTTCTAGTTCATTTAACAGTTAGTTATACTGAAATACCAAAATCTTATTTAGAAAGCTGGAAATTACACGAAAAGCTACAAGCATAAAGACCAAAATTATCAGAAAAGTACTACAGAACTTATCATCAGACTTTTTAATCTAAGAAATGTAAATTATTTCACGCTACTTATCAAAATGCCAACAGGGTAATAAACAGGCTGCTAATTTCAAGGTTATCAATAACGAATAACGGTTCACTGTGGTAAGCCAAAAATCTACCATAAAACAAAGTTTTAGGATGTATGACTTGTGCTTACTACTTAACATTATGCTATAAGCGAAACAGAATTGGGAACAACCTTATAGGTTTAATGTAGAAAATAACATAACAGAAAACATGATAATGAAATTCTAAAATACAGAGAACTAAATTCCAAAATTTTGAAAAACAGAGAACAAAAACATTGAACAAATGAAGAACAAGAACAATCATACCAAGAATGAGAGAAAAAAAAGAGAGAGAAAGAAATGAGGAACATCTGAAGAAATGAAAAAAAGATGAAAAAAACAAAGAAAAGGAAAGAAATTTAAGGAAGAAGAAAGAACAAACAGAAAACAAAAACAAGCCTTATGAGTCACTGGATTTGTTTGCCAAAAAACTTTCTGAAGCTCAGGCCACCATGGTTCAGGTTGCCGGTGAGGCTGGTGGCCTAAGAAGGCTCACCATAGTTGTCTGTTTGCAACTTAGGAGTTTCATAAGAGAGAAGATGAGAAGAAAAAAAAAAGGATGAGGAGGAATTCTGCCATGAGCACCACAAAGTCATGGCCATGGCAGATATGGTGGGTTACATAGCGGATATGGCAGACACTGTTATATAATGGAAAATAAGGAATAGCGAATGGTGGAGGGGTTAAAAAATGTCATGTTATACCTTTATGACGGTGCCATAACTGTTATTTGTTAATATTGGCTGATTTTCAGGCAAAGCAAATTTGATTACCCATTCAAACACATAATGGTCCAAAAGAAATAATGAAACAAAATAACCTATATTGTCTTCTCTAAGGATGAAAAATTATTAAATTACCCATATCATCCTCTCCACTTGTTACAGATTGCTTAAGAACAGACTGATAATTTTCAGGCAACTTTGACAGAACACTCTCCTCCAGATGTTGCTTTAGGTCTTCTATACACCTGCAAGCAGAAAACTAGATTCAAAAACCACAAGTATGCTTTAATGCTATCAGTTAAAACACAGACCTAGTCAAAAAGCAAATTATAAAAAAAGACAATTTGAAAGATAGCTTTACGCATTGGTGAACTCTTTCTCGTCTTTAGATAGCCTGTTCCAAAGTTCATTAGTCTTTCGGATGTGGAACATGTACTTTTCAATCTACAATAAAAAAAGTGACTATAACATTATTAGAAAATAAAAAATAAAAAATATAACGAACAGAGCAATCAGTGAAGTCAATTCCAGCTAGCCCAGTCTTCAAATAGTTCGCAACAAACATGTGCCATAATTATTTTAACCTATTATAAAGGTAGTAAAAATGAAAAACACAAAACTATTATCAGAGACAAAATATTTAACGAAAAGAAAGTCCATAAAGAAAATTCAATTTACATCTAGTTGAAGAATCACTCTATCATTGCTAATACTCGAGGTTGAGACTACAATAAATTTCAACAGTTCATTTTTCTTTTATTTTTGGTTTAATTAATCATTTGGTCCTTAGAACGATACAATTTTTACATTTTAGTCTTTACACCTAGAAACTATTCGTTTTAGTCCTTACTGATACATTTTAATTCATTTTAGGTGTAGGAACTAAAATGTAAAGAAACCAAATATGTAATTAAACCTTCTTTATTTATTTACTTTTTGTTCTTATATCATCTTCCTTTGAAGACAATCCTATTCGAGGCACTATCAGACACTAAATGTAAGCACCACCTCTCTCAGCAGATATTCAAACCTTGATTTGTTGCATTGCAGAAACTAGTCCTATTCACTATTCAACTACAATTTTTCTTAATTCTTATATTCTTTTTAATTCAAAAAAATTATAAAGACAAAAGAAAAAAAAGAACTAACTAAGAGCCTAGTTTTTTGCTTAATTGTTATGTAATAAAAGAATTTAGAGTGAACCTTTTGGATGCGGATCCGGAGATATGATCGGAGGAGAAAGAGGGTTCTGTCCAAGTCCATCTGATAGAGAGAGAGCGAAAGGGGGTCCGTTGCGGCGGTGGATTTATCTTGGATGGTTTCTTCCATCAGTTCAATCTGTTCTCTGAGGCGGGAAATCAACTGGAATTCGAATCGGAGAACCTCGGGTGCTGCCTTCTCGTTGCGCCACGCTCGCTTCAGAAGCTCAACGTCCGTCGTCGAAATCAGAGCCTCGTAATCCTCCATTGAATCTCCTTCATTGCCTGAGCTTGAAGCCATTCAACTCTCACAAGGGTTTCGCTTTCTCCTTTCTCCTTTCTCCTTTCAACAACAACAATAATCAATTCTCTTGGCGCCAAAGGGAAACATATTGTGTGTGGGGGACCCTATGTTAAGGCCTCTGCACCCCTCAATCATTTAATTTTAATGGATATAAAATAATTCAATTTAAATATGTTTTTAATTTTAAAAATTTCTTTGTTTACATCATTCTAAAATTTAAATGAATTGTTTTTAGTTCTCATTATTATATTTGTTTATTTAAAGATTAAGTGATTATTTCATTTTTCTTTCACTTGCAAAGAGATGATAAAGATTAAATTAAATTTTTTTACTTTTAGTTACTCTAATCTCATTCTTTTCAACCATTAAATCATTCCCAATAATATCATTTCAAGTGTTTTTCGTAACTCTTAATGTTAGTATAGGACATTTTTAAAAAAATTTGTAGATCTTTGGTACTCGTTCAATCTCAATCCAATTTTGAAAAATCAAGTTCGAGTTTTTCTCGACTTGAAAAACCGAGTTTTGGATGCGATTTTGGATATGCAACTTCCTGTCCCTGTCTTGAGTCTTGCATAAGTTAATTAAAGTTAAAATTTTAATTTTATCAATATTAAAATATAAGTTAATTATTTTATTAACTATATAATTTAAATTATAGTAATAACTAATTAACAAATTTAAAATTATATGTTTAATTAAAAATGTAATTTAATTATTAATTTTTTTATGAGTTATTTCTTATTTATTATTTTATATATTATTTATTTTATAATATAATTTTAAATTTTAAATTTTATTTATTTTAAATGCATAAGTAAATTAAATTCTAAAAAAAGTAATGAGTCCCCAAAAGTCTACTCAAACTCAATAAAACTTGATGGGTATGGATTTTAAAAATATAAATATATCCCTTTAAAATCCAAACTTAAACTCACCTTGCCTTTTATAAAGATGAGGATGGGAGAGGAAAATCTGTTATCTGTTATCGATCGTTTCATTGTCATCCCTAGTTAGAAACCAAAATTATTGATTTAAGAGATATTTCACATGACCAAAATAAAAGTTTACTCATTTAAAGGATATAAAATATTTTATAAAGATAAAAAATAATGTTTACAAATTTTAAAAGAATAAAAAATAATAAAAAAATTCACAAGAACCAAAATCAAAACTATCATACAAATACTAAAAATATATTTAAGTGAAATAATTACTAAGAATTACTAAATTAGTAGAGAAAGAAGCATTCTATCCATACTTATATCTATGATTATTAGTAGTTGATTGTTTGTCCATTTTCTATTTCCATTTTCAATGAAAATAGAAAATATTACGAAAAATAAAGAGCTGAAAATTTTGAAAATGAAGTTACGTTAATGTTAAACCTAAAATTTTATATGTATTGTCCTAAATTTGTGACCTCTAATTATAACAAATTTATATTACATAGTTAAAAAATTAAATTTAAAATAAAATTAATAAAATGAAATATTTTATAATTTACTTTTTTTATCCGATGCGCGGGATTATGTGTATTTATTTGAAGAATATGATGTGGAGGGAAGCATTGGCACAAAAAAGCAGGTGAGTGAAGAAAGCTCCTCTGATAGTATAAATAGGTATGCAACTCATTACTCTCCATTCATCTCTTATAACAACATTTCATTTCTTTTGACTAAAATCTCTTAGTAGTCTCTAAAGGAATAAAGGTATTGGAGAAAGTGATGATGAAGGGTCTCCGAGAAAAGGGTTCGGCAAAATCCAAGGGATCGGTCAGCAGCAAAAAGGTGAGGCCTTTCTTTAAATTGTTCCTTTTTTTTTATACTACCGGTGTTCTAATTGCTTACTGATCAAATTCTTGAAGACCTTTCAAAGTTATTATTCAATACTAGCTTTCTTTTCACTTTGAAACAGCCTGCATTGAACCCAGAGCCTGTAGAATCATCTTTATCAACTTCATCTGAAGATCATCCTGCTGAGGTTGGAACCACTTTGGAGATCGATGATTATCTAAACAAACTTGATGATAATCCCTTTGCGCTCCTCGATTTCTTATCAAGTGATGCTTCAGTTTCATCCATGCTATCCCAAACCACAATTCAACAGCCTGTGTCTCCCTCAACTGAAAACGTTTCTACCATTCTTCAAGAACTTCGATCTTTGGCCTTCTCTCAATCTTTCTTGCACAACATTCATCGAGTTGAATACAGAGAACAGATTCAGGAATCTTTGAAGAAACTTGAGAATCATGTTCAAGATCTATCTGAGGGCCAAAACAAGGGGCTAGATGAATTCAATGCTCTCTACAAAAAAGTGGAGACAATTTGCATGGACAAATCCATGAATGAAGAAAAGGCCAAAAACATTGAAACTGAGAAAAAACTAGCTTTTGGCAAACTTCTAGATTCCAAATCTAAAGTTGAAAAGCTCGATGATGTTGTTTCAACGAATAAGGTTAAAATTGAGACTCTGGAAAAGCGCCAAAAGGAGATACAAGATGCCATCAAGAAACTTGAAGAAGAAAATGAGGGCTTGAATAAAGAGAAGACTGAACTTGAAACTGCCAACTCGAAGCATTTGGCTATTAAAGAAGAAATAATTGAATCTGTCAAGCATGTTTCAACTTCATTGGGCAAGGTAGTGAAATATCTTGCTGAACTTGACAAGGAGAGATTAAAGTTGAATGCGGATTTTGAGAATCTGAAGGAGCCTTACAAAAAGATGAAGAGAAACCCTCCATTTTAATTTTGATCCTTTTCCGATTTCTATTGTGAGTATTTCATTTTTACGGGCTCAAAACAATTATTGAGATTCTTTCTATGATTTTGATTTCTGTAGTTACTGGTTTATATTTCTAAGATTTTACCATTTATCGACGTTATTTCACCGTTTGAATGATGTATACGTGCATATATTTTACTGAGTTCTGACCATTAGGACCAAAAATCTATAAATAGGGAACTAGTGAATCATTAACACAACTATTTCAGTCGAATATAACCCTAAACCTTCATATAAGTCACGTGAAAACATGAGAGGATTCACTACAACAGTTCTATGATCCGTTTGCTTTACAAAGAGTCATGGGGTAGAAATTATCTGAATACACTGTTACAAATGTGGCTCACAACTCTAGAGTGCTAATGGTTCTGTGTAATAGTGAGATTCTTTTATTTTTTATGCAAAGCAAGGGTGTGACTTGGATTTTGTCCTGTGGGTGGAACCGTGGAAGCATTTTAATTATTGAGAATTTTCAAATGCAATCTAGACATGTGACATAGGACACTTTGAACTCTAGCCCTCCCACAACAGTTATGGGAACATTTTAACAGAAATTCTAGAAAATCCAGTCATTCTTTTTGTTCTTGAAATTGGTTTGTATGGTTTCTAAGGAGGCTCTAGTTGGCATAAGGTGCCAGTAAAAATTGTTTAATTCTTACCATTGAGTTTTATATGTGATTGTAGGTAAAGTGGTGGAGTATGAACTTTTACATATGGAGACCAAGTCTTTTTCATCCAAGAAATTTAAGACATTTGGCAAACTTCTTCATAAACACTTTTAAAAGAGAAAAATAAGAATAAAAAATAAAATAATTTTTTCTATAAACTAAAATTAGCTTGTGTCATAATTTGTAAAAATTCTCTTATTAATTCCTTCAAAATCTTGCTTTTAACTCTTACATAAGCTAGTTTTAGTTTATGAAAAAAAAAGTATTTTAATTTTTCTTCTTATTTTTCTCCCATAAAAGTGTTTGTGGAGAACTTTATCAAAACACACCATTTTTCTGAATTCTAAGGCTACCACCCCTCCCTTTTTTGCAGTATGCATGCCTGCCTTTGTAGTTGATTGTATGTTTATCTTTAGTTGAGACAAAAGACAAAGAATGTTCATAAAGAAATGACTATTCAATAAGCTAGACTCTGATGGATAACCACATGTGCCTAAATTGATTATCCACAGAATACTCCAACTAGCCTGATTTTTAAATGGATATGATTCTTAATCATTCAAACACAATATAGATAGAACCAATAGAAGTAGTTCACGATCTATGAAATTTGTATACAGCTAACAACAGCAGGCAGCAATCAATGTCTGTCATAGTTAAAATGAATTCTCAAAGGAAAAAAGTGCAATTCTTTAAGAGGAAAAGACAGTATAATTAAGCATCAAAGAGAAATAAGTGTAATTTTGGCTTGAATGCATTAAAACTGATGTGGTTACCATTTGCCATAAAATAAATATGCAGAGTGGTTTTTCTGCCGATAAGGACTCATGTAGTGCAACCACAATTTAATTACAGCACAGTAAATGGTTCTAGGCATAACCATAAAAATGTCTACTGCAACCATTTTGCAAAATTACACTTAACCATTTTGCAAAATTGGCCATCTTTCCCTACATGTTGCAACTATATTTTATATGGAATAACTAGATTGTCCAGAAACTGTTTCGCTCCAATTTCTCCTAATGCTTCCTCATTTTAGACCTCGCATATCTAGAGAGCCCGGTAAGAAAAGAAAAAAAGAAGTTAGAAATATAAAGTATCCAATCATAACAGAACAAAAATCAACAGAATCCGTTAGGTCAGAAAGATACTCTATGTGCATGCCACCCCGATCTGATGATGGCAACAAGCTGCCCTGAAGCTCCTCCAAGACCTTAGCAGCTTGATCAATTTCCTGTCAAAAGAAGAAAGGTTGATAATATAATCAATAATTGAGTAAAAATTCAGGCCAAGGTTATTTGCAGATATGGTATGCTAAACTATTTTTTGGTGACATAGCAATGAAGAGGGCAGGGGTGTATGGGACTGGAAGGTAATTGCAGCAGTCAATAGGGTTTGATAATATTTAAATAAAAAATACCAACCAGCAAATGACCTATGCCATGATGTTCTCATGTTTCTAAAAGGAGTTGCCCAATTAGTGTTTGTGTGCACTTTGTGAAGTTCCCATTAATCAGATTTTGCTCAATAAGACGTTTATGGTCGGCTGAGGAAATGAAGCTATAGTTTCCTAGATGGTTTTCTCATCTCAAAATGATACATGGAATTAGGCTTTCAAGAAACATGCTTCAAAATTGATGATAAGAACTATCCATGATCATATTATGCTATACAAAAAAAGTAGAATTTCTATATAAAGAACTCAACACATCACTCCAAAGAAAAGAAATTGATGGCTGTAACAGGAGAACTTGTTGAAAGAGCAGGACCAAAAAATTTAATGTTATAATCTGCAAAGTAAGACCCAATAGTTTAGTCTGCTTGAAACCAAATCCATAATGTGAATCATCACTCTCTCTCCACTTCCAACATAAGCAACAAGTAGTAGCTCCTCCATCAATTGATGTGATTTTTGCATGGATGTAGATCCCAAACATGCATCCAAACACGCCCCTAATCTCATTTCCTCCACCCTCCATTTTATCTCCCTTCGACATCCACACACAGTATATGAATATTATAAATGTCTACTATTTTACCAATGACTCCTATAGTTTCCTGCTAGAACCAACTTACCTCAAAATCAGCAAATGCAACAGGCATTCCTCCTCTGGAACGCATTTTGACCATGTTGAATCCAGTATATCTGAAAGAATGAAGATGTTTAGTTCTATGATCAAAATCAAGTAGATGAAGAACATTGCAGGATCTAGATATAACAAGAACCAGAATGTTCAGCACAGCTTCAATCTGAATAACAGTACCAGAGGCCTTTGCAGATTCATCAACAGGAAGAAGAAACTTACACAGAGAAAGCTTGCTTTAGTTCATCTTCGGTGCAGGTTGGACCAAGATTTGCAATAAAGAGAGTGGAACACAGTCCTCCATCACTGCCCTTTTCATATTGCTCCTGTGGCCAATTTGAAACAAAATTTCTTAATAGGAAAGGAAGTAACATCTTTTACAAAACTACACAAATTTTCATCAGTTTGTTCACACAGAAGGAAGTGACATGAAATTCAATCCTATGTGCTGCTTTTAAGGCGGAAGAAAATATTGGATGGTTTCTACAAATGCAGTAAGCTGACAAGTTCCAACTTATTTCTAGTTTTCACTTGAACTTACCACAGGTACAGCATTTTCAGAACCAACAGCAGTTTCACCACTGCACACAAACAGAATATTAGACTCACTGAACCACTAGAATATTCAAAGTACTGGTATAATCTTATCATTCATGTTTTTGTATATGTAAACAATATGTAAAATTTTGAACTTTTGAGCTAAGCAGTTATTGAAATTTGTTGTACTCTCAACCTTTGCAGGGTTGCTGGATCACCATGGTTGCCACCACTTTCGGTTGGTTCATCAGGGTCACTCTCACCTAAATGTGAAAGATGTGCGGGTGAGACACAGAAAAAAGAAGGAAAAGAATATGAAACTTATGTTTCTTGTGCTGCTCCTCTCCCTTTATCCCTTTCTAATCTTACCCACCCCATTTAAATTGAAATAAAAAGGACAATTAGCTATGGGTGCATACAGTAACATAGCAGGAAGCTAGATCATATTCATTTCAGAATACACACAAATTACTCTTAACATAACAGAGTAACATTACCATCATCATCACTTGATGATCCCTGAAGATCAGGCTCCCCTTTGGACCTTTTATCTATAACCACGTAGGGTCCACCACCTGTGCAAAATAAAAGTCCAGTAATCATCCTGAAAAAGGCAGTAAAACCATAAAAGTAAAACAAACTGAATTCCTCCAGAATTCATCGAAAGGAATTATGTAAAAACATTAATTGGGGGGGAACGGAAGAAAAGTTACTTGAAGAAAAAACTGAATGTAAAAGTTAAAAATGAGAAAATATCTAGATTCTATATATGCATTATAGCTGGTTGATACTTTCAAAATTTCCATTCCTCCTTTTTTATTCATCCCTATTTCCTAGTCAAGCATGAATAATATATATACCTGGTTTTCGCTTCCTCCTAGAGTTTGACCTGGCAAGTTCAATATGTAAAACAGATCCACTTTGAGGATCAAATTTCACACCCTGGTGATGATCATCAACGAAAAAATAAATTAGACAGAATCCCAATTTCTATGAATTGCAAACACCTCAGTAAAATACGGTCCATTTCGTTTCATACTCTATCAGAAATTCCACAAACTCCTAGGATTTCCTTTTGAGTATATGTGCTCAAGGCCACTGCAATTTACATTTAGTCCAGAGTGGGGAACATAATACCAAAAAATTCATTCTAAAGAACAAAAATTAAAACAAAATAACTGTATTATTATAAAATGAATAAACCGTTAATTTGGTCCATCTAGTATTACTTTGAATTCTAGTGTCTAAAGCAATGAAAATATATAAGTAGTCCCCAAAGTATTAAATATCCATTAGCTTAATCCCTAATTTAATATAGGATCTAATTTGAATAAACTTCTCCATAAACATTTCTTGAATAAGAAAATAAGAAGAAAGAATAAAACAAGTTTCTCCATAAGCTAAAATTAGCTAATACACAAATTAAAAAAACATTTTGGATAAACTAATATGAGAAAGTTTCTTCTACAAATTCACTTATGCATAAACCAATTTTAGTTTTCAGAAAAGTTTATTTCATTTTTTTCTTCTCTTAGAGGTGCTTTAGAAAAATTTATCCAAATAGACCCATATTTTACTAGCTTCTAGAGACTAATTTGAAGAGCTTGTCACGATTTCTAACACTCAATGGACTGCTTGAATAATTTATATACTTTGAGATGAAATTGATGGTTTATTCTCATAAAACTACGCTAACAGTGACTAAATTCGTAACCCTAAGTTCATCACGGATTATGCTGTTCGAACCTACGTACTCACATTCAAAGCGTGCAACGCTGCCATTGCTGATTGATGGTTGAAAAACGTGGCGAATGCTACGACCTGAAAAGAAAAGGCGAAATTGGATTCAATATTTACAAAATTCACGAGTTTCGAAGCAGGAGAAAAGGAGTGGCACCTGGTTGGCGCGGCCGGTGTACTTGAGTTGGCAGGAGTCGAAGCCGGGGCGGCGGCGGAAGAGGTTGTGAATCTCACGCGCCTTCACGTCGTCTGGGAGGCCAGACACGAAGAGCGTGTTGATGTTGCTCCGTTCATCCTGTTGATACAAGTAGTACGGATCGAATGCCGGCTGAGCCATGCGTGCCGTCGTCTACGGCGGCGATGATAGACGCCGGAGAAGACTGTGACGGAGGGGTAAAACGAAAACGAAAACGAATTTCTTTGTATCAGTGTCGTTTATTTACTTCGCTTTATTTCTATCGAACATTGTATCATAAGGGTGTTAAACTATTTAATATTTATTGTTAATTATTGATTAAATTTTATCACATCTATAACTATTATAAAGGATATAACTATTATAAAAGAGATATAAGAGATGTAACTATTTTTTGGTCTTTATTTTTTAATGGACCATTATACCTCTCAAATATAAAAAAAAAATCTTAAATTTTCTTTAAATAATTATACACAACTTTTTAATATTTTATTAGTGAATAACTATTAGAGACACGAAGTGAATCTAGTACTCATAAATTGAATGATGTTAATTAAATATCAATTTTACATAATTTTGTGATGTGATTTTTAATACCATCTCATTTATAATAATAAGTTTCTCATGCTACAAATAAAATACGAGAATTTAACAAAAAAAAATATGAAGTTGAGATTAACATATAAAAAAGAAAATTATTATTTTTTATTTATTAAAATTATAATGAGAACATACTAAAATTGTATGCATGTTATCCTTATCCTACCACTATATTTAATTAGAATAGAAATAGAAAGAAAAGGGTGAAAATTAAAAAAAATATATTAAATTATATTTTTAGTCCTTCTATTTTTATTAATTTATAATTTTTTTTATTTTAAAATAAAAAATACTTAATTTCTTTAATTTTAAAAATATAAAACCTTAATTATTGCATATATTTAATAATATAATATTTAGACATTAAAAAAAATTAATATATAAAAAATATTAATAAAATAAATAATAATCACTTGTTAATATATAAAGATATTTTGTATGATATTTTTTAAAATTTTATTCCAACTTATCACATTACTTAATATTATGTTACTTAAGTAATATCATATTATTAAAAAATGTTAAAATTTAATAATTAATGAACATCAAATATTGATAATAAAGATATAACTTTATATTTTTAAAAATAAGATAATTAAATATTTATATTTTAAAATAGATAACTAAAATTATGAATTGGAAAATTTAGAGAGACAAAATTACAATTTAGTGTAGAATGAATGTGATTTTTCATATTTAGATCTCATGCAAATAAGGAAAGAACGAATAATTTAATGGTCTCTATATTAAATTCAAATTCTTTCAAATTTAGAAAAAATTGGAAGAAAAATGTGAATTTAAGTGAATAAAAAGACATAAATGTCTTTAAATAGCTATTTTTTATTTATAAGTTAACTTTGATAGCTTTTAAAAAATTGTTTAGAGACAATTTAGTGAGATAATATTTCTTTTATTATAAAACTATTTTAATTTATTTTAATTTATTTATTTGATAAATTATTTCATGGTCAACCATTTTTTTATAACTTTTTTTCCCTAAAAAACTATAATCCATTAAGAGTTGGGTTGGAGTTTCTAATTCAATCTTAACATGGATTCAATCCAATTCATTTTTTTTTTAATTTATGATTTTGGTCATTTATTTGACATGCTCATCTAATGTTTAAATGGTTATGAAATGATAATTTGTGGAGATTTTAAAAATATAATAAATCTAATTATAATTTTTTTAGTTTAAGTTGTTGAATCATGCTTAATTCATATTGTAATAATGACAAATTTTAAATTTCAAGTTTTAATAATGAAAAGTTCTCATGTATAGTACTAACAAATTTGTTCAAGTATCTCAATTTTATTTTATTCAATATTCAAAAGCTTAACAAGTCTTACAACTCGGAAGCTTCAATATATATTACTTGACTTGTTATATAGCATCATGGTCTTGGTTTTTTTTTTTATGAGCACACAATGACTGCTGATCAAAGGATTTCAAAATGAACATTTTGTCTCAAAGAAAATGCCTTGAAGACTTAGTTTAAGAATCTAGTTCTTTGAACCATTCATCAAAAAGTTTCAATTAAAACTAAACTTCCCAAAAGACTAATATTGAAGACTCTACTTAAAAGGTTTGAGGATAAGGTTGCTTAAAAGGTAATTCAGAAAGTAACAACTTCTTAAGGAATTGTTGACAACACTAAAAACTAAAGTACAAGTTAATGTCAACATTGCTTAAAAATTAAGCTAGCCTCGATGAATCCATTTTAAAGACTATAAAAGGATGATGAAGGTTATATTTTTTAAGCAAGTTAGATCAAAGAAGTAAATCAAAACACAAGCTGTGAAAGTTGTAATCCTTACTTCATACTTTATTTTTCTAGAAAACTCCATTTTTACATTTGTATCAATCTTGCAATAGAGAAAACGAAGTGTGAATCCTCTTTAGTAGAAGCTCTAGTTAAGAGAAACTATTGTAATCATAACTGATTGCTAGGATACACAAAATCATTCTTTGTAAAAGTTTTTCCTACATAGGTCTAAGTTGTAAAGGTGTATGAAGGAAGGAAAGAAGTCAATTAGGTGGTTGTAGAGATCTTATAATAGCTGATTGTGAGGTTGGGCATCTAAACAAGTTGTTAAGGGAGAAATTTCAGTAGGTGACTAAGCGGAAATCACTAATAACAAGTGGTTGTATAGTGATGAATTTGTATCAGTAGGTTGTTGAAGTTGCAAGTTGAACAATAGTGACTTTGTTAGTAGAAAATCTCACAATATTGTGTGAGAGTTAGATGTAGCCTAGTTTGGGATAAATCAGTATAAAAAATTAATGTACAATCTCTTTGACTCTATTTCCTTACTTGTTGCATTTACTTTATTACCTTATATATATTATTGCATAATTTATTATCAAAATTGAACTGCTTAGAAGGTAATTTTATAAATAAAAAAATTGAACACTTAGAAGATTTACCTTGTGAAAGACAAATTTTCATAATTTTTTTTTAAAGAATACAATAACTCAACTCTCCTTCTTATTACTTAACATTGACTTTATAAGTATTTGATTAAAAATTTATGAACAATTCACAAATTTATCGATTAATTTAACTAAAATTTAAATATCTTTCTGTTTATAATTCACATAATTCTTTTTTATTATAAAAAAGAAAAGTCTCTTTATATTTAAATTTTAAAGTACACAATCTTTTATACTTATTTTTTTTTTTAATTTTGTTAAAGCGTTAAAAAAATATTAAAATTACTCTTTTGTTATTTTGATTAAAATAGATAATGCAAGAATTAAATTCAAAATATTTATTACTTTACATTCTTTTTATAGTGATAATGTCATAATTTATGAACTCATGCATCTTATCCCAATTATCGTTACTACTTAATTTGTTTAATTCATGTGAACCATGATTAAGATTTTAGCTACCATCCAAATTTCATTTTCTTAACAACTAATTAGCACTATGAAATAAAATTACTTTTTTTTTTCCTATTATGAATATCTCTTTGCCTATTAGACCAAAGATTAATCCAATTAATCCTATTTATAGTCTATGACTATTGTTAACCTAAAATGTTTCCATACATAATGTGTATTGAATATAAGATTTGTTTGTTAGATAGGTTGTTTTCCAATGTGTGAACACAAATGTTTAATTATTAATCCTACAACTATGATACACCTGATTAAATTTTATCTCTTCAACTAGTTAAGATTTGAGATTGAATTCAATTTCTTGTATTTTATATCATTTCATACAAATTCTCGTTGAAAATCTAAAAATAGAATAGAAAATCTTTATTCTCAAAGAACTGGACAAATAACTTCCATTTACACGAGATAATACTTTATCGAGTAATCATCTAAACTTTTCAGAAAAAAAATATAATTATTATTTTAATCAATCGAATTAATATTTCTCATCAATTATATAAATAAAACTATAGTTTTAATTCTAAGATAAAGTTTATTTTTCTTTTAATCGGAATGCATGTTAAATTGGATTAAAGACACATAATTTAAAGTCTTGACTAGTTGTGTGGTATTAAAGACCCTAAACACAGTCATTAGGTAACCACCTCCCATTCAGATTTCCCTCCCAAACACACCCATTTCATATTTCAGTTTTCCCCTCCCAAACCAAACCCACAGGAACTCAACTAAATGGCACAAATCATAGTTAGAACAAAATATGAAACCCAGGCAAAAAAAAAGAAAAAAAAATTATGTAACTAGTAAAACTAGCTAACTACAATACAAAATAGATCCATCCAAAAAATATAATAATAATAATAAACCATAAAAAAAAATAAAAAAAGAAAAGAAGAATGATGATGACGATGATGATCAAGCAGCACCGGCCAAGCCAGCAGCAGCTTCCTCCTCCTCGCCCAGGAACAAGTCCTCCGTCCTCCTCAACGCGGCGTGCGCCACCACGACCGCCACCCCGACCGCCACCGCCACGACAATGTTGACGGTGGCGTCGG